AAAAAAAAAAAAAAGAGGAAAACTCAAAAACCGGTTCAACACGGTTCACCGGTTTTCCCGGTTTTTACCGGGTTTGACCGGTTCTCTGGCAAAGTCAACCAGAGCATAGAACCGGACCGGTGCCATGGCCGGTTCGCGGTTCAACCGGTCGAACCGGCCGGTCCGGACCGGTTTTCAAAACATTGGAGAGAAGTCAATGCGGCGGGTTCCATCACTTGGATTTTTTAATAACTCAATTCAGTACTTAAATTTAATGAATTCAAATCTTAATATATTCAGATGTATTTGATAATCCAAAATTTAATATCTAAATTAATTAAGTGACACTGAATTTTCTAGGTAAAATTTACTCTAAAAAATAAGTGATAAACTATTCACTTATCATTGAATGTGATATACAATCAAATGTATTTGATTTAATATTTAACAATTCAATAACTTAATAGATTCAGACTTCAGACTTCAGATTTCAGATTTCAGTTTTATCAAACGCACTCTTAGATAAGTTCGGGAGAGGAGACTCCATCATTGGCAAGCTCGGTCCTATTATTATACTCTTTTCATCCCACTTTGATAATTTTGATTTTTTTTATATAATTTAAAAAAAATTAGTTAACTTTATTAGAAAGATAAATCTAATCTACTATTCTTTTAAAAATACCATTACATTGAAATAGTCTTACCCGAGAAATTTCGAGTCCTACACGACAAAATTTCTTTTTCTGGGCTGATTTTATGATTTAATCTAATAGCCAATTGGATACAAGACGCAATTAAGTGACCAATTGGCACCCTACCCGTCTACCCTACCCTACCTACCTTACCCTACATTGAAACCGACATTTTTGCTGTATTTTTTTTTGAGATAGTTGTGTAGTAGTCTATTTTCTGTTTTGTCTTTTGTCACATATTTTATAATATTTTTTGATCATACTCCATTCTATTGTATGGTCATCATCAAATTTATGCCGCAGATTTTTTGTGCTTGTTAATGAACCTTTTTTTAATCAAAAAAGTTATTTATTTAATCCATTATAATAGGATCCAATATTCGACAAATAGGAGCTGGTGGGTTAAAGTTTAAAAAATTTTGTTACGCGGTGTATGCTCTAAAATGTTTAAGCTTTAAGGAAGTAAAGTTAGCATAAAAGTATGGATTTATTATTATCTTTTTGTTTGTTCATAGAAAACTCTAAACCTTATGGACTAAATACCTCAAAGATGCCAGGTTCACATCAAACAAAAAATAAATAAATAAATAAAGGGCCTTGGGGTTTACTTTATGTATTTGGTTTCTAGTCTTTCACATTCTTTGTTATTCAACATCTACCCGTTATAAAATCATCGGATCTTGGTCCAATGGTCAGGAAGAATCTCTTTAAAACTCTCTCATGCACTAGTAGATCGGGGTTCATACCCCGCATATTTGTCTAATCTGGTGTGATTCATCTCTCAACCCCCATACAAATCTTCTTAGACTCCCCACTGCATAATGTAGGAATAAACGTAATTTAGTTAGTTGCCGTTGCAAAAAAGGAAAACAAAAAAAGCATATATCTACCCCTTTACAAGCATGTTCTTTTGTAATTTATCCAGTCTATATAATGTTTTAGCAAGTTTTTGATGTAATTTTGAATGGGTTATACTAGATTGATAGTACATACATTAATAGATTTGAATGTATATTATTGTGCAAAATCATTATTAAATTCTTTAATTACTCTTTTGTATAAGTTTTCAGAATTAATGCAAGAGAATTACATCGGCTATTATGTGGACCTGTTGGTTTGCTTAGTGAAGTTCAACAAGCTTGAACCCTGTCTAAAGCAGGAAGCTTTTGTTGGCTCATCATTATTTATTAATACATTACACTAATCTCCTCAAAACTCAACACGGTAAAGAAATTAGTCAAGTGACTATAAGCAAATGAAGAAGAGCACTGATTAAATATAATTATATACTTGTTAATAGGGTATCTGGATTATTAATAAGGTATCTGGAAAGTGTTAGCTTTTTAGGAGAGTAAATTACATAACAAAAAAAATTTTAAATACAAGAGGGACAACAGAATATTAACATGCACTGTAATTGGGAAACTATATATGGCCTTGTGTGGATTGCATTTGTTGTGCAAAATTTGTTGGTTTTTGTATTAATATTTCTTACCGCACTTTTTTTTTATCTCATGTACATTACATCTTAACAAAATGTCACAGTGTATTTTCCTACAAAAAAATCTTAAAAATTACAATCCAAATGGACTATATCTGTGTTAACTAGTTCTAGAAAAATCCTAATTTGTAACGTGATTTATTTTTGCTTTCCTTGGTAACTGTTAACTTTCAAATGGGAGAGTGAGTAAAGGCATAGAGAGCAAATAGATAGAGTCTACTTTTGAGGCTGAATGGCACAATAAAGACATATAGAGTCCATCTACAACATTGAAAATCACTGGCATTCCTATGCAAGTATGGCAATCCCACTACAAGAATGGAAATCACTAACATTCCTAAGTAAGTATGGAAATTCCTAAAATCAATCTTTTAATTTATTTTGTGGTTGTGGTGGGCCATCGCTTAGTATAGAATTTAGAGTTCACCTACAAAAAAAAAACTAAAAATTATAAAGATATGTGTTATCTTTTAGTTTATGTCTATCGTTACGGTGGACGCTGCTTAATGTGGGATTTTCCAAATTGATAGATCCATTTACAAAAAATGTCCGAAAATTACAACATTGCACACAGAAGTCCCTAATCTTATTCCATTATCAAGTGTTCCTCTTAACTTATATCTTATCCATTACGATTTTCTAACTTTCTCTCCATTATGATTTTCTAATTTTCTCCTTAACTATCTCTAGAAAGAAAAAAAAAGAGAAAGAAAATATTAAGATTCTAGTAAGAGAAAACTACTAAGTGAAAAAAAAAGACTCCCGTCTTCACACTACTTTATTCTTCCCACCCATTGAGCCTGTTTGGCAAATGAGTTTTTAGTCAAATTTGTTTTCTACCAGTTTTTAAACAATTTTAGTTGCAGTAATATCAAAAAATTTCTCAAAAATTTTAAATTACACACTTCAAAATACTTAAAAAACACAAAAAAAAATTTTCCTTCCTTCTTTCTTTTTCTTCTTCCCCCACGTCAACCCACCACCACCTTCGGCACTGGTGTTGGCATCGTCAGAGGTAAGCTTTTTTTTTTTTTTTTTTTTTCTCTTCTCCCTCTCCCTCTCCTTCTCTCTTCTCCTCTTTCCCTCTTCTCCCCTCTTCCCCGCTACCTCTCTCTCCCCACCACCCTTCCCCTCCACCCCTGCACAATCTAGCCATGTAGCTAAATTTGGTCGCATGATCTGCGCAGGGGGAAGGGGAAGGGAGGGGGGAAGAGAGGTGACCGGGAAGAGGGAAGGAGAGGGGGAAGGGAGGGAGAAAGGAAAAAGCAAAAAAAAATTTTTTTTTTTGGTTGCTGCTGACGAGCGGAGAGAGAGGTGACGGGGGAGAGGGAGGGGTGAAAGGAGGAGAGGGGAAAGAGAGGGAGAGAGAAAAAAAATTGTTGTTGCTGCTGCAACCTTCAACAAGGGGAGGGAGAGAGAGAAGGGAGAAGGAGACGAGAGGAAAGAAAAGAAAAGAAAGAAAGAAAAAGAAAAAAGAAACGAAAAAAAGTTTTTCATCTTAAAAATTTTTCTTACAACTTTTACGGTAAGTTAAAATAAAATTTTAGATAAATATCCAAAATACTTATTTGAGCCATTGTTCTTACAGGTACCATCCACCAATCTCATGCTAGAACATAAGGATGTCTAATCCTATCATTAAATTATTCAAAAAGCACAGACTTCAATAAGAAATGGCATCAAAATACCTAAACTATTGACCATTGACCTCCCAAATCCCAAAATTACCCCTCTAATTATCCTGTAATCCACTTGCCGCCTGCTCTAGTCAAGATGGTCCAATCCGTCTTATCACGCAATTTCATCACTCCAATCATTTCCGTTCTGTTTACTAATGATCAATACTTGCACCCAATCACAAGCTTCCAAATGATGATAAATCATTAACAAATAGAGCAATTAAATATAATTACAAATTTAGCAAATACAATAGTATCATAATAATATTTTGCCAATTTATCATAATAATGTTTGAATAGCTCAATTTTGTCGAATAATATATTGTTTGTATCATAAACACATTTTTCAATCTACATTTTTATATTACCAACCACTATTTTATCTGACATGCATCACATCATAAAAAATATTACGATAATTATTTTAAGTAATACTCTATCCAAATACTCATGACTACACAACAAAAATGCCAAACCCATTTTTATTGATAGGAAACTACCAAATTACTCCTCAATCCCACGTCTCCACCAATCACCCTTTTCAAGTATTTGCATTTTTTTGTTGTTCTTTAGAGCCACCAATATGAAAAATTCACCGTTGAAATTGATATGATATTTTAGAGATCACAACCATAACCGCATTAGATAATTCAAAGTTGAGATTCACTGCGTTTGATATAAGTCAATCCCAACCGTAAAACAAATTAATTCACCGTCGAAATCGATGTGATGTTTTAGAGGTCACAACCATAACTACATTAGACAATTCAAAGTCAAGATTCACTGACGTTTGATATAAATTAATCCTAGCCGTAAAGTGAATTAATTTACCATCGAAATTGATATGATATTTTAGAGGTCGCAACCATTATCGCATTAGACAATTCAAAATTTATAGTCACCGAAGTTTGATATAAGCTAATCCGACCGTAAAACAAATTTCTAAAATTCATCGTAAAAAATGTAGAGTACATTTTATTGCCACGAACTATGTTGTACAGTTGCGCCTCAAATAGCAAGTGTACAATGTACTCATCATCTTTGTTCTTTTCCTTCTTAATTGTTTTCCCAAAGCATATCTTCCTCAAAATAAAAGACAAAAAGAAGAAAAATAGAAGAAAAGGGATAAAAAAGAAAAACAAAATATCAAAACCGGCTGTCTGACAAAGATATTAGATAGTAGATGGGACTCTTCCAAGAATCGCTGCAAAGGAAGGAAAGGAAGACACCTCCCCTCGTATAAAACCGTTTGCTGACAGCGCCAAGCGATTCTTTTTTCTCTGTCTTTTCCCTAATTCTAACCACCGCCCTCCTCCCCTTGCCCCACCCAAAACCACCGTCCACCACCCCCTTCACAGGCACAAGTAACGACAGCTATATTGATTGAATTATTTATGCCTTTGATTATCAACAGGTTTTTGTTTTCCTTCGTCTCCGTTTCTTCAAAGGTATGATCTCTGTTTTTTTTTCGTCTGTTTATTAAGTACTTGGTTTCGTTGATTTTTTGTTTTCGTTTTTGTTAAAATGTCGGTGTGTGTTTATCTCAATGAATGTAGCTATCTGCATTGGCATTCGAGCTCGGAATTTTAGGGTTTTGTTCTGCTTTCGAGTTAGGGTTTTTGTGCTTCCTCTTTTTGATTTTTTTGCCCCCTTTTGACTGCTACTTAACTTTTACGATGAAGATATATCGTTATGGATGTTTCTGGGTATCTGCATTGCTCTGGAATCTCAACAATTGGTTTTTTGCTTTTATTTAGTTTGTGGGCTTCTGTCTCTCGCGGTGATTATTTACTTAATTTTGGCTGAATTATGTGAAAATAATGTTATTAAGCTGGATTAAGGGTTAATGTAAGAGAGTATTTGATTAAAATATTCATTTAGGTAGGGAGTTTCTGTGTAGAGGTCTATCTATGCATATTTGTATCAGTATTAACTGCGATGTTGAATTTAATTTGTCCTCAGTTTCATTTTAGATATTTTTTCTTCCTTTTTAGTAAGAGCAGATTGCTTATCTTTAATTTTTTTGGTCGGGGAGGGGGGGTCTTGTTATGATAATTTTAAGTAGTATGTTTTCCCTGATAAAGGTTCTGCTTGATATTTCTAGTTTTACTGCTAATGCTGATTGATAGATTATTAGTTGAGAAAATCAGGCACTTGCAAAAGTTAAAAGAATATGGGTAATTGAGTAATTTTTGAGTCATAATGAGTCGTGAAGTCTCATAAATTGTTGACAATTAAGCCTAGACTTTCCTGGTTACTGTATTAAGTGTACTTAAAGGTGCTATTTCCAGGATTTGGTTACTTTCACATTTCTTCTGTATAAAGTATAGCTTAAGAGGAGTTCCTTCACCCTGTTGGTTTCTCCAGGTCTTATAAGAATATACGATTGAGTATTATATGTCTTGCCTCAAAAAAGATATCTTTGTGCTTGTTACGGTATAGTTTTGTAAGCTAGTGGGCTTATCTAGAATTGTTGAGTGGATTATATAGTTGCATTAGGCTGAAATTTTGCATTATTGAACCAGCTAAAAAGATATATCATCATTGAGCTCCTCTTTTTCTCATAAATAGGGATTTTTTCTCTGGTACCATTTCCGGGTTGTTGGAATATGTTTAACTGCTGATTGACATGTATTCAAATGATTGCAGACCTTTTGTTTTCGATAAGAATTACTATTTTCTTTTGCTGATATGATTTGTTTTTATTAATTAGATTGAGTTCATTTTAAATGTCTTTTCTATGCTCCTTAACAAATGAGTAATTATTATTTGCACTCTGCATATAAGTTATGTTTCCTTTTTCTTTCAGATTTCAGGGCCGTGAAGTTCAGTCAACATCATTTTATGGCTCCTAGTGCTTTGTTTGGTACAGGGCTGCATTCTTCCTGTTGAGGCCCTTTTTCCTCCTGTGCCACAGCCTGGTTAGTGGATCAGTATGCTTGCTGGGATGTCAACAGGAGAAAATGTACATGACTGTGTTGAGGAATCCTCTGCAGCGAACTCAACTTTTAGTCTTGAAGAATTATCCACCCTTCAGCAATCGTGTAGAACCTTTTCTATGCGAGATGATGATTCATCTAAGAGAGTGGATGCAGAAGATCTTTCAGGGGCCGATGAAGTAGTTGCTGCTTTTCAGTCTTTCTGCATTGATAATTCATCTTTGATGAGAGATCAGGAAGAAAAAGATACTGTAAAAGTGGATTATAGTGCAGAATCATCTGTATTGAGGAATGATGAAAGAGAGGATGCTTTGAATGCTAATTTTCCTTTAGATTCATATCCAATAGGGGGTGAAAGAAAAGCTATAACTAGAGTTGATGACAATTCTAATACATGTCCAGATATCACATGCTCTTCTCCTTGTTGGAGGAGCAGCCGGAGGAACAGACTAGACCAGGAAAACAAGAAAAAAGGACCAGAAAGAGACTGCAGGAAAACCTCCAGCAAGAGTGCATTTTTAGATGTGAGCTCTCTGCAGCTTACTAGGAGGAGACGAAGTTCTTTGAGCAAACAGGCTCGTGCTACTGTATGGGGTTTTCTAGGAAACATATCAGTACTAGAGCAGCATGGTGCAGTTGATATAAGTCCACAGAAGGCTAAAAAGTCAAGAAGACTTAAAGGAGTTGGAGCCAATGGGAAGCGAGAAAAGAACAAGAAAGCTCGAGACTCTACAAAGCTTAAGGGAGAAAGATTCAACCCAACTGGTCCCATCACTTTGAAGGTTAAATTTGGCAGTAGAGAAGCAGCTTCCTTGGTGAACGTTAGCACTGTAATGGATGATAATAAAGAGCAGGATTCCAGACAAGAATCTTTTCCTGAAGTATCCATAGATGTTCAAGATTTAACGAAGAAAGAGGCTGATGGTAGTATGAGTTGTCAGTCTTGCGATGGAACCTTGGATAAAGCATCAGACATCCACCTTGCGATTGAGAATATAACTGAAAATGCAGGTGGAAACGCTTATGGTGATCTTTGTGAATCTCCCTTTCAGGCTGAGGTTGGTAAAGTGGTAGCAACAATTGATAACCGCATCTCAGATTCAGGAACTTCACCTGATTCAGAAGTCATCAATTTAACTCCAGATGCGCAAATTAGTGAAAAGGATCCAGATGCCCTTCATCACACTCTCAGCTCAATCAATGCATATCTTGCCTCTGAAAATATGTCTAATTCGAGTTTGCTTTGCAAGGATGCTGATGAAGGAAAGAGGGAAAATGAGCACCCTCAGACCAGCAATTTCAGTGTAAATGTCGAAGCTCCTGGTCCAGAAAACCTTGTTGATGATCAAGAATTCTCTAAGCTTGGACAGAAGGAGAAAGTGGGTGATGTCTTTTATCATAGTGATGCTTCTACATCAACGACAACTGAAAATGTATATCTTAACACATTCGAAGTGGAGGGGTTACCCAAAGAACCTCCTCCTTGTTCCAAGGTGACTGACTACGCAATCTCTAGTGAGACGAATAAAGTTGAAAGTGCAATAGAAGCCAATCTTTCTCCAAGACTTGGTACTGAGATTGGGCCAGTAGAGTCAAGTAAGTCTAAGAAACTGCTTCCTTGCACCAATGGGAAAAAAGTTGCCAGAAGTTCAAGAGCAAGGAAAGAAACCAGGACAAAGAGAGAGAAAACATCTAAAACGAAGGGCAGTCAAGAGAAATCATCTGCAAAGCAAAAAGGCAAGGACAAAGGATTGAAGGGTGACTCTGCTCAGACTCTTAATGAAGTGGAAAATCACTGTGAAACAGGTATGAAGAGCTATAGCTTGGGTTCATTAGTAAAATATTTTAATTGTGATCCCATCTTTTGCAATTGTTGGATCATTCTCCTAAACTAATAAATGATGACTTATATAGTTCCTAGTGCCTATGGTTACTGCATGTGAACTCGACTTTATGTAAATTAACCTCATAGCTCTTATAACCACCTTTTTGGGTTTCATCCATTTTCTGGTGTTGAAGAAGCTGGAGAAACTGGCATTGGAAATAAAAGCTTGACAGAAGATACACCCCCTAAAGATATGGCTCCTGTCATGGTTGCACAGGAATGTATACCAATCACTCAGGCTTGGGTATGTTGTGATAGTTGTAACAAGTGGAGGCGCATTCCAGCTGCACTTGCTGATATGATCAGAGAAAATGACCGCAAATGGTAAGTGATGATGCTCTCTATTGCTTCAGCATTACAAATATGCGACAAACCTTGATTGAAAATGCTCCTTGCTTCTCTGAAATGGCTCATCTTGGCAAATATTGGGGTAATATGGTGAAAGAACAGCAGTTTTCCCCTGGCCTTCATTTGTTTATGAGTGCACACTCAATGTTAAGTGTAATTTACAGGTCCTACCTTTTGTTGGTGCGGGTCTAGGCACTTTATGCTTGAATGATTTGTATAACACTAATTTTTTTTCCTTTGCTGCTACCTTCCTAAACATGATCTCAACGTGCCAACCAGCGTCTGTTGTCCGGCATATCCTGCCATTGCTTTTTGTATCTGGGAACTCGGGGTACTAAATACATCACAAGATAAAAGATATAGAGAAAAACATGTTATGGATGTTCAGGGACATTTAGGTAGTTCCTAAAACATGCATGCATGGGTATAGTAATGCATGTTACATCACTTTGGGGACCCATATATGCCCCAGACATCACAAAAAAGGGAAATTGAAGGGCCAAGAATAAGACTCCTCTTTGAATGCTGGATTGACTATAGTTTTTTGAGTCACAAAGGTAGCAGTAACTGTTATCATTTGGTTAGTTTGTGCTTTCTCTTATATTCAGTTAAATTTTTTTTCCAGATTATAAACTATCGGTCTTATTCTAAACCTTTTAAGATGTTATATTAGAGAGATCTGTATATCAAACGTGTCAGTTTGGAATATCTTTAAAATGAAAAAACTTGACCTCCCTGTTTCTGGAAACCAAAACATAATTCATTGAAATTCTCATACAACTTTGACTTTTTGCCTAAAACAAGTGACTGGGAATTTCTGTGGGAAGTGGTCTCCTAAAGTTGATGATTTGATGATATTTTTGCGCTGGTAAGTGATTTTTCTCTAAACCTTTCTTTGGGACTTGAGGTGTCAAAACTCAGTGTCTTACATGAAGAGGCCTCAAGAATTTGTCATCCGCACAACTTACAACAATCCGGTTAGCCTTCCTTATGCTTGCATTACAAGCATTATTGGTCATTCTGAATTACTTGCTAGAACAGTTTATCAATAGTTGTTAACCGTTTCCTTGACACATTTAGTAACTTATTACCCAAATGTTATGCAAAAATTCTTCTACATTTTGCTCTATCAGTTGTATAACTTCATGTGGAAGGAGTTTAACCTCTCTGTTAACAAGGAGCCAATTTGTTCTTCCAACTAAGTATAGAATATATGCATAAAGTGAGAGTAGTTCAAAGCAGGGAGTACGTCAGACTACACAATTGTATGAGGCAAAGATGCAGTTGAGGCTCGGTGATTTGAACAAGCATCAAGTTTTTTCAAGTTACTAGAATCTAATTCTGCCTAAATTGCAAGTCATTTGTTTGGAGAAGTTGGTTGACAGGCAGTTCAAGCTGAAGTACTGGCCAAAACAGTTTCTGATTGGATTTTTGAATTCATTGCTTTAAGGCACGAGTTTGTTTGCAGATATAATATTAGCAAGTGTGGTTTGAAAAATTGAAATGATGAGCTTTAATGATCATCAAGTACTTTCTTGGAAAGATGCCCTGATTGTATACTTCTGTTATCTAGTATGCCCCTGCATAAGTGGCAATGCCTTATCTGTAATATAAGTGGCTGTTACCATTTGATGTGCCTTTGAGATTTATATTTTTTCAGCTGGAGGGAAATACGGTAGATTCATGCAAGTAAAAAGCTATGCTAATTAGCACCCAAGGGGGTTTATGATAACACTGTCATTCAAAATTTTCGAGAACCTGTATAACCCAATTTTGATTCCATTAAAAAAAGAAAAAATCCAATTTTGATTTCTAGGTTTCTGTAGGTGGTTTTGATTAAGCTACCTAGCAAAACTGTGTTATTATACAGGAATAGGGGCATGAGCTGCTCATTTACTTGACCAAGTATGTCTGAGGTTTAGTATTGAACATAATTATCATAAGGAGTATGTGGTAAAGAATTTAGGATAATGCTCAGAAGTAAGTTACTAAAATCATGCGCTACTTATGATACTCTTGGTTTTGATTCATGTTGGTTCCTCTAATAAACTTTTTGCTCAAGTTAAAAGCTTCAACATTTTGTACAGTTAATTCATTAGTTCCTTTATTATTATTATTATTTATGGGAACAAGAAAAGCTAGCAGAACTTTGCTACAGGTTGTGCCTTTTCCTTTTCTTTTTAATTATAATAAGCTAGAAATGATAAGAAATAAAGGCACATGGTAAATCAGCAGGATTCATCATGTGCATTGCATATTTCATCTGTTGGATTTGAGCTCAACAATTGATGAAAGTACTATTTTGGACATATCAAAGACTTGAAGTTACATAATGGACAAAAAGTTGGGAGGGGATGAAATACGACTCATATGGGTGAAGCAAGAGTGACTTAATCTTAGGCTGCATTGTCTAATCGCTTTTGAGTAATGGAGAAACGCTGGAAGTTTATACTTTTCAAATGCTAGAATGATGATCAGCATAAACTTTAGATAAAATAGTTGTTGAATTAGCAAAACTTTTACCTCTTGGGTAGTGGTGGTTAACATTATGATGTGAACTATTTAATGTGTTTCTCATTTGATTATACGATAAATTTTGTCTTTGATCTACATTAAGGTATTGCAAGGATAATATGGATAAAGATTTTGCTGACTGCTCAATTCCACAAGAGAAGTCCAATGCAGATATCAATGCTGAGTTGCAAATATCTGATGCCTCTTGTGAGGAAGATGCAGATTCTGATGCACGGTTGGATTCCGTTAAATCAACACAGAAGCAGCAGAAAGGTATTCAATGACAGTATTGTTGTTATTCTAGCATTGTGTTTTACGTTTTTTTTTCCAGTATATAAATACGCTGTGACTTTCTTTCTCTGAACTTGGATTAATCAATTTTATGTTACAGTAACTCAGCAGCCTTCATGGACACACATAAAGTCAAATTCGTTCCTTCATCGCCGGCGCAAAACTCAGGCAATTGATGAGGTAATAGCCTAACTGAACCTTTAATATTATTGTGCTTCTATTTCTTTTTCTGTTCTCTTCCACGCAATATTGTTGGGAGACTGCTTAATTAGGTGATTATCACTTCATGGTTAAACTGAAGAGTATCTAAGTTCCTTGCAGAAATTGAATTGGCCCTTCTAACTAGTTTGTTTCCTTTTTGTTTTTGATTTATTCTTGGCCAGATAATGGTATGCCATTGCAAACCACCTTCTGAAGGCCGAGTGGGTTGTGGAGATGGATGCTTGAACCGGATGCTTAACATTGAGTGCATTCAACGGACCTGCCCTGGTGGCGAATTCTGTTCAAATCAACAGGTCTTCATAGTTTTCAATGTTTTTGTTACTACTTTTATGTTTTTTTTGTTTAATCTCATTTTTAACCATTTTTTAATGTAAAATTCCCGTCTGCAGTTCCAGAAACGCAAGTATGCAAAGTTGAAGGCCATTAAATGTGGAAAGAAGGGTTATGGTTTACAATTGCTTGAAGATGTTTCTGAAGGGCAGTTTCTTACAGAATATGTTGGAGAGGTAATGGTGCCATGTGCTTTGTCATACAAAACTGGACATTATATGTAACAAGAGCTACTGGAAGATTCCGAGGACAAAAGACGTGATAAGTTATGTTGGTTAACTGAATATGGATATTGATTGTTATGGACATCTGAGTCTGGGTCTATTCTAATAAGTGGAATGTTGGACTTCAGATTTAGGACGATTTAGTGTTTGTAGATCTTTTTCTAGCTGCCCTTGTGCATGCTTCCATCTGTTGGAGGCTCGTTTAGTGTGAAGTAAATGAGAGTTGGGAGTGGATTTGTGGAGTGCATTGTCACAAGAGATGACTTACGTTTGACTATAATGCCTAGCAATTTGAGCTTGTGATTCATGGTGGATCTTGTCCTCACTTTTTCCATTTTTGTTATCTATCATTAGTGCTTATATTGAAATATTAATCGATATGTTTATGTTCTGTTATATCTCTTCTTGACCGCAGAATGCTTGTCATGATTCTTTCAGGTCCTTGATATGCATGCCTATGAGGCGCGGCAAAGGGAGTATGCTGTTAAGGGTCATAGGCATTTTTACTTCATGACACTGAATGGCAGTGAGGTTTGAAGATTCATATTTCATTTCAATATTCTGAATGTTATGGAAGAAGTAATATAGAAGGTTATAGTTAGGCAGACTGTAGACCTTTCCAGATATGGAGTTTTTGTGCGGTATGTTTCTGTTTGTGGATTATGCTGTATACATGTGGCTGATGCATTGCTTAAGAAGCATGGTTGCAAAGTTTGTGATGCAAGTGTGTTCAAAATTATTATTTGTAATCTTTTACCTTCGAGACTTCTGGTTTGACATGATAGTTTATGTTATACAGCTATTTTATCTCAAAAGAAGAAATGTGTGGTGATATTAGCACTCAACTTATTGTTTGACACTTCACCTCCCCTTTAACTTGTACTACTACCCTTAAGTACATAATGGTATGAGTGGAAAATGGTAGTAGGGGGAAAGTTGAATGTCTAGTTTGACCATGAAGGGTAATATTTGCCATATGCACAATTCACTATTAAGAGTTTCCCTCTATTATATATGCCTAAATTCTTGATAGTTTTAAGAAATATTGGGTTAAAAATATCCTCCTCTAATGGAGAAATCGAAAAAGTGAAACATGAATTCTACACAATCACTTTGTTATGAACATATATAATACTTAAGGATTAGTGTAGTTTACTTTATTCCAGCAGAATGTTTGCTTTTTTTTTTTATCAAAAAAAAATGTAGAGTTATAGATCATTCATGTGCCATGTGATGTATGGTTTTTGGAATGTAAAATTCTAGATCATTCACTCATCCATGTGATGCATTTTTAAGAAGTTTTAGGAGAAAAAAGTAAAAATATATTGGCATTGACATGGATATTTTTTCTTTTCTTTTCTATTTTTTTTTGGAAACGTATATCTTATATGACGAACATATTATATGGCAAACAACAAACTTTTATAATCATAACAAACTACAATGATTTGGTTGATCCTATTTTGTTTGGTAAATACTTTGAGAATAAATGTTCTTTTAATACATGAAAAAATAGGATTACAAACATTACAATGACCTTTACCTCAAAAATTTTTTTATGATTTCAGCAGAGTTTTGAGATTTTATTTGTAGTTCTTATGTTTTACTTATAGAAGAAGATATCTTGTTCATAGGTTTTACATGTAGGTAGGGGGTCTTTCTACACCATATGTACAAAATAAGTAATGTCTTCATTGTTGAAGATGAAAATTGGAATACTTATATTAGCAATGGATTTGGTGTGTTTTAAAGCTCTTTTTTGTCTAACTGGGGTATATTCACGTGTCTTCTCTGCAAATGCAATGAATGCTTAGTTCTTGAAATTACAGGTTGCAGCTTTTCTTTTGTAAAGGTTGTTTACACTTTATTACTGGTTTACTGTAACATGAATAGCTGAAGTAGAATTTTCAGTATACAGATGTTAGCAAGCAGCTAGCAAGTCTCTGTTTTTATGCTGCTTATATATAAATAATGGAAATATTGCTGTTTCCTTTCGTTGTTACAATTACTTATATCTGTATTTCTTGTTGTAATGTTGTATCCTTGCTTTTTTTTTTCCAGGTAATTGATGCATGTGCAAAAGGAAATTTGGGTCGTTTCATAAATCACAGCTGTGAGCCTAATTGCCGTACCGAAAAAGTGAGTCTAGTCATTGGTTTTGTGCTCTATTTGGCTGAAAATTTCTGGGTGTCCAGTCTTACATGCCTAATGGATCAATTGGTAGATGCATACCAGAACTGGAAATTATTTTTTTTTAATTTCCAGTTCCTTCTTTTGTTTGTAGTCTCAAGTTTTACTTCTTTTGACTTTATTTGAGCTGATACTCCTTGGCAACAAGACTGCAAGAAGGCCTAGATAATGATTCCGCAAGCATGGAAAATATAAAAGACCCAAGAGGAAATGAACCTAAGTTTGGCAGCTAAATTGGCTGGATAGATAATTATCCGGAGTACTGAGTTGATAAAAAATTGCTTTTCAGTATATATATGACAAAACTAAACATAAATTACTGCCTGGATAGTCACTGTTGATGCATTAGGTTTGGTAAAGCTTTCCTTTTACTATGTTTGCATGAATGTGATCATATGTAGATTGCAATCAGACTTCTCTGGCTATGAAAAGACCAATTCTTGCATATATCTTGTAAGATTGATGAGTAAGAAGAGGAAAAATGTCCACAAGCGTTCCGTCATAGTAGCTGAAAGGAACATGTTGTACAAACTATGTCGAAATTGCTATTTGGTAGTCCATTTGTGGTGTTCTGATAGGTGTAGTTCCCTATCTCTTTGTGGTGGGCTGTAGACCTTTCAAAGTCATGCTAAAATTTCTTCAACTTTCATTTTGTGTATTCGGAGAAACAAGGAAATAATTATTTGGTGGACTTCAGGATGTTTATCTTGTTATTTTATGAGATCTTTCAACTTCAGTTGTTTCTATTGCTTGTAAGAAGAACTGAAGTGACAGTGGGATTGTCTATGAAGTGTTTTATTGGAGTGTAGATACAAAGTTAAGGGAAATCTGTTAATTATCTTCTCTATTGGGTAAATTACATAATGGTAACTATTGGGTAAATTACATAATGGTAAACTGAGTAAGAGTGAAGTTATTTATGCTCATCTATGGCTTCTCATTCTCATGGATCATTTCCTTTACAAGATTGCTAAAATTTGTATTTTAATTTAGTTGGTTTCACGACATTCTTAATCTAAAATTTAGAATTGAAGTATTTATCAGAGATGCCGTTTTTGAAAAAAGTGTTTTTTTGAGTTGAGGACACTGACTCGTGCTTTTGCTCTTGGTTGGTTGGTACAGTGGATGGTAAATGGAGAAGTTTGCATTGGGATCTTTGCTTTAAGGGATATAAAGAAGGTATCTTTTCCTCGTGCCTTTCTATTGTTAATTGGTGTCATAATGACTTCATTTATCTATTATGCCCATCCTGAAGGACGGCACTGAGCTAGTAAGGCCTTCAGTCTACTTTTTTAACCTAGTTTAAATCAAAATAGACTTAAAGAATGAAAACATGATATGTTATCTCTTGCCTAGTTGGAAGTGCTTTCATTACTAGGATGCTTTTTTGCGAAATTGCTTAGTGTCATTCCATGTTTATAGAGATATCATTGTCCTCACTTGTCAAGTGTCCCTGACATGTTTGCTCACTTTTTCACTATATTCTGAAAAAGAAAAGTTGAATTTAATTTTTTGTAATGTTTCATTTCCGGAAAAAATTGATTTTGTTCTTTTTAATCAACATTTATAACCAGTAATTGACCTGTAAGCTGTTTTTCTTCTGTGATTGTGAATAAATGCGAATGTCATTTTTGGGTGATTCTCATTATTAACAGTGGTTACATGTTTTTTTTTGGATTTCCGGTGTTCCAGGGTGAAGAAGTTACATTTGATTACAACTATGTACGGGTTTTTGGTGCTGCAGCAAAAAAATGTGTGTGTGGTTCATCTCAGTGTCGGGGGTATATTGGTGGTGATCCACTGAATGCTGAAATAGTTGTCCAGGATGACTCAGATGATGAATATCCAGAACCTATTATGTCACTTGGAGATGGAATAGCTCTGACGAGCTCTCACACTGAGGAAGAAAAGCAAATTAGAGAGATGTCAAATCAAGCTAAAATTGACATTGATTGCTCATCCACTGCTGCTGGATGCTTAGAGAACACAAAGGAAAATGGAGACACTAAGTTATCTGCATCCACTGCTTTGAGTATTGCAATATCACTGGAAAAGGAGAGTTCAGTTGGACAGCATTCCCCTGTTCAACTAGTGGGTACTTCCTCAGAGTCTGGTGGTATAACAAGTGGAAATATCTCTGCAGCTCCTGAAGAGTGCTTTGCAAGAGAAACTAGTGTGGGCAATCCCCTGTGCTCCAATCAAGGTTCTGATGCTAATTCTCTGTCCTTGGCATCTGGTAAAATTGATCCTGTAAAGAAAGTAAAAAATGATGTTGGGGAAGTCGGAGTTGTTCTGTCAAAGTCCCGAGCTCGAATAAAAACTTCAAAAAATTTGTCCTCAGTTAAGAAGAGAAAACCTAAGGCTGAGGCTTTGGATGGTAAAAAACCTATGGAATTTGACACTAAAGTGCATTTACCACCCTTTAGGTCAAAGCAGCTCCTGGAAGATCTATCTAATGGTCGTTTTGAAGCAGGTAAATCATGTTCTTTCTTGTTCTATTAAGAACTTTAAGTAACTCCATTGTAATATTGTCACCTTTTTCTTTGCAGTGCAAGAGAAGCTGAATGAGTTGCTGGACAATGATGGTGGGATAAGTAAACGAAAAGTGAGCTATTTGTATACATTGTTAAGAATCTTAGATTAATCCGCTGTTGGTTAATTTTGATGCTTGGATTATATATAGCTTATTCTTTTGTTCCTGATTCATGCGTTCTTGGTGTTGGTATTGAAGTCCTATAATTTAGTACTTGTAGACCGATGATGTGCTTTCCTTGATTTTTTTTTAGCTGACTTTTGCACCTTGTTTTTACCCTGGACCACCATATTAGTAGCCATTTGTACTGGTTATGGTGTTTGAATGTCAAATTACTGTCTACTGGGAAAGTAGAAAAGTTTGAAGATTAACATTTTTACAGGAACTGGGTTGGGAGATTCAAGCACATGTAACATCTCTTTGGGAATGTATTATCAAGTCCTTTACTACCCAATTTGTTTGACTGTTAATGCATATCTGACTAATCTGATTGACATCAATTATTGTAATTGACGTTTACTCTTATAATTATCTATCTATCAGGCATCCTTGAGTCATGATAGAAAGATAAATAGTAATGCTTCTTGCTTTTCTATAGGATGCATCAAGAGGATACTTGAAGCTGCTACTTTTAACTGCTGCTTCAGGGGATAGTGGCAATGGGGAAGCAATCCAAAGGTCATCCAAGATTCTGCACTGTGTAATCTTTTTGTCTATTCTTTTCTGAGCTTCTTGAACATAACTGATTTTGCATAAATGCCTCTTTCTTGCAGTAATAGAGATCTTTCCATGATTCTTGATGCTCTCCTGAAAACAAAATCGAGGACAGCGTTGGTTGATATCATTAACAAAAATGGTAGTGCTTTTGTTTTTGATTGCGTGCATGAAATTCCTTCTGCATATGTGATACGACTTCATATGTATGCTTATTGCTTACATGGGATATCTGTTTTCTTGTGCCAGTAAGGTTGAGTTTTGCTTTTACCTTTTAGGTTTGCAGATGCTACACAACATTATGAAGCGGTGCAGAAAGCAATTCATCAAGATTCCGATCCTGCGCAAGCTTCTCAAGGTATAAGGAAATTTGAAAATTCTAACATTCTACCTTATTAGTTATCTATCAGTCATTTTGTTGGTAAATAAAACCTTATGGATCTGGACCATTTAAGCAATTTACTGAACCCTGCTATGATTTTCATTCTTTTCTTAGTTGTGTGCATTTTAATGAATGAAGAGGACAAAGTAGTATACATAAGGAAATCTAGAACTTTTGCAGTACAAGCTTAGGGTGGAATGTCAGAAGATGAGCTGTAGCCTTTTTTCCCCCCAAGGAATGCTCTGAAGGGGGGTTTGCATCACATTCATTCCATAGCAATATTAAGCTATTCAGAAGCACAGAAATTATTCTTTTTGTTTTAATTAATCTTTTGGTGCTAGAATGAATAAACACTAGTCTTTTATTCAAGATTATAGCAACACATGCTTCGTATTTTGAAGTGTGTTATGGCTGTAATCTGGAGTAATAAATAGTGATGCAAGTAGAGTTGGCTGATTATTCTTTGCTGCAGGTACTGGAATATCTGGCTACAAGGGAGATTCTTACCTTTGAACATATAAATGGAGGCCCGCGTTATCCAGGAGTGGAGAGGTAAGGGCCAATGACCAGAATATTTTTATTGAACTCCTGTTACAATATTTTCTTTCCAGTTTTCTACATGGGTCAGTAAATGCATTCATTGTTTCCTGCACACAGAGACATCTATATATGAATGAAGTACTTTATGGTGTTGTATCTAGCTAGTCTTCCCATAAGCTAAAGAGCTAAATGTTTCCGTTCCAAGAAGTAAGCTCATTTATTCAGGGCAGGCCAGCAACTGGGGCCGAGCTTGGGCTGTAGGTAATCTAAAGATTAAATGTGATGGTGGAGGAAAGGAACAAGGATTGAAAATGCCATGCAGCTATTAATGGATCTTGGTTTTTGAATAGAAGTTGACTTGGACTTCACGGGGAATATAATTTGAATAGATGGAAAGAAATATAATTTTGTCTAAGGTGCATCTTGCATTTATCGCATTGGTGCCTTCTTTGATACGGGCACTTTCAAATTTGAAATCTGTCACTTTGAGGTTAAAATATTGAGCATTTAAATCATTAGCCTGGAATATCAACTGGCATGAATTACAACTCAAAATCCTATTAGCGAAGAGAGCTGCATGTCATTTTACAGTCATCCCCTAGTAACATTCTTAGTTGTTCATAAACATTAGCATGTGAGAGCTAATAAATGAATTTCAGTTTGCTAGCTTTAGTTGATGATTTTAGTCCAGATAAAGTAGCTCTTGGACTTCTGCAATAGTTGTGGTATGAGATCCTGCTCAGGGCGTAAGAGACATGGAGGAAACAAAAATCTTTTATGTGTGGGGAAGAGTTAGTCCTACATGTTGCTATGCTCTGCCTTCATAAGTTTAGCATGCAATGGGTGCTTGTGTTGCAATTTTTTGCATGATGTACAAAAGATTTTCTAAATCCGCAATATATGGAGTCTTGTAACTAGTTTGCCTTTTCTTTGCATAGTTGTGTTCCTTTTTTCCCCTTATCTAGCTAATTATTATGTGTTTTCCTCTTTGCCTCATTGACATATCTGTCTCCTTTTGCAATTTGTTATTGTACCACCCATTTTCTAATCAAAATAATTATAGTAGATAACTCAAAAGTTTCTTTTTGTTCCAACTGTGCAGCTTTAGAGACTCAATATTGTCATTGACAGAGCACACTGACAAACAGGTACCCCCTTCAACCTCCTGTTGAAGCGTTTTTCTTCTTCGTACTTGGTAATGCTTGTTTATCAATTGTTTTGTGTAGTGATAAAGATTGTCATATGCTATAAGCAGTAGACTGCAAATTAGTCGAAGTGTCTTGCAAGTTTGATGCTGGTCAAGAAAGAAAATAATCGGATAAATGTTTTATACTGTATGATCAAAAGCTACTGGAAAATATTTCGAAAACAAGGCTTTAAGGAGAGGCAGGACTGGAGAAACAGGTCTACAAATGTCGCATCCTGAGGTTATTGTCCTGGAAGGATGCTTGTTCATTTGAAGATTTCTAGGACTTTTACATCACTGTGTTCAATGGCTTGAAGCCAGAAATCCATGTCTAAAGACAGCATGGATGTGTGTTTGCTGGCTATTGCTGGTCTGACGAACCCAGTAACTCTGTTTGCTCTGTCCTAAGTGCCCTCTATCTTGTTCTTTTTCATCTTGGACTAGATATTTTTCTTTGTAAGAGATAGATTCTTGTTTTATTTTCCCAAAATTTAAGAACCTTGCTATATTTTGATAAAAGTAGACCAGGAAAGGTCACAGTGCATGAAATCTTGTTGTTTGAACTTGAGTAGGAGTACAGGATTCTGTTTTCTTTGAAACTCACACATTTCAAGGTTGTATTATGCTATTAAACAAGTTAGACCCCGAAATTTTACCAGACATGAAAAGATCATTGGATATTCAAGAAAACCATGGAAACCTTTTTTGCATGCTAGCCTAATGACTTTTGTAGGGTTGAAATGCCTTCTACTTCCTTGCTCCAGTCCATTGTGTGCTATCTTCCTCTGAGATACTCAAGTTTCGATATTCATGCTCCAAATTATTGTTGGGGGGATCTATAGCATATGCTGAAGGCTTTGTTCGTATCATTATATATTAGGTCCATCAAATTGCACGAAGTTTTCGAGATAGGTGGATTCCTCGGTCATCTAGGAAATTTGGCTGCGTACACAGGGATGATTGCCGGATAGAATTACACCGCAGTTCCACCCGGGATACTATTTCAGCATCGCATGCCAATTCAAATGATTGTGCTGGAGTACCTTCAGAGACATTTGATGGTGCTGCAAAACCGGTGCTAGCATCAAGTTCTGTTGATGCTCAAGTGCCAGATGTCTCCAGTGGATCACGCAGTACAAGGAAACGTAAAAGCCGATGGGACCAGCCATTCAAAGGAAGCCCAGATTTGGGAGCTGACATTAGCATGGCAGGCGATGGAGCAAACAACATGGAAGAGGATGTTCCTCCGGGATTTTCTTTCCCTCTGAATCGCCCTATGCTTCCATCTGATGCTTATCTAAATGACATTGATCACAAGGAAGGAAGACCTAGTTATGCAAAGCGTCCATATGGAGTAGCAATGGGCCATTCACAACCAAGATTCATTTCACGTTTATCTGTTGCTTATGGAATTCCTATTTCCATTGTGCATCAATTTGGAACTAGTGAAGCTGAAACATCTGAGAATTGGATAGTTGCTCCAGGCATGCCTTTCCAACCTTTTCCTCCATTGCCTCCATATCCCCGTGACAAGAACAAACATTCAATGAGTCAGGCTAGCCAGAAAGCTGGTCAGGATTCTCATAATCGTGCAACTCACTCAAGTCAAAACCCTCCAAGCACATCCGGAGCAACTGGAACAGGCATGCAAACTGTAACTCAAACAGATTTTCGACGAGTTAGGGGTCCTCATAATTTGTCAAGGACATACTTTAGGCAAGAAAAATGGAATAGTTCAACAGCAGGAGGTTCTCAAATTCAGAAGAGAAATGTTTGGGGATCTATGGGTAACAATTCAAGAAATGGAACATATCAAGCAAGTCCAAGGAGTATCCACAATGATGAGTTTAACAGTTCACATTGTTCGGAGGATATTAGCACCGGCATGCAGAGTGGGGTTAAATTCCATCAGCATCCATGGTAACAAACAAAGGACTAGTTATATAGCGGAACTTGTGGAGTTACTCAAGTTTCCTTTCATGCTTCGCCCATTGTACTCACAATTCTTTGTCACTCATGTTTTACTTAAAGTGGAAAGAATTCTTCAGATATTCAATTTTAACATTAGACGTTAGGCTACAGTCTTCTGATTCAATTATACTCTAGCTTGAGTTATCAAATTTTATTGCCTCAAAAAGAGGTAAACATTTTTCAGTCTGTTCTAACTTGAATACATACATTTATTGAATAAGATTTGCTTAACTGGCTAGGTACCTTGCCAGATCCTTCCTTTCTGATCCTCTCTCTCTCTCACACGCTGTTGTCTGGTGCTGGGGTTTTTAACTTGACAATCATGAAAGACTGTGTGCTTATACAAGTATGGGTATGATTAGTGTTTGAAGGATGACATTTCCGTCTTTTGTTAAGGTTTTGTAGCCATTAACATTCCATTGTGGTTCTTGTAATCTTATTTGCAGTTTGTCAGTAAATCTTTTGCATTAGGTAGCACGAAACTGCAAGTTGATCATTCATTGTTCCATTGTTCCATTGTTCATTCGGCAGGTGAAGAAGAGCATTAGTTGTTACTTATCCGCATGGTTCATTAGGCAGGTGACTAATACATATTTGAGAACTTGTGATGTGTGGTTATGTCGTTCTTTCATTTAACTGCATCTGCAACGCAGTTTATGAGCTTTTGATGTCAAGATCCAACATTACATTATCATCAATTGCTGTTCTTGCATATGCTGATGTGTTTTCATTCTTGTTGAATGCTGCCACAAGTGCTATTGGATTACAGAAACATAGTTTATCTTCCTATACAAAGCGCCTAATTAGAGTAATTATGGGGTGTGTATCAAGAATGCTGTTACTTCTTTGTTTCTAGTCCATTCTTTGATATGATGTTCACATGATAACCTAGTTCAGGAATTCCCTGTCATCAAGCACCTGGCATAGAAGGAAAAAGAAGGCTGCATCGCATGACTGCATAAAATTCGAACAGCAGAGAAAAACATTCATAAATTACAAGTGTGTTAAATAATTATTGGTGAATGCCTTTAACTTAAAAAGAACTGACAAAAACAGCTTAGAGACCGACGGTTTTATATGGCAGCCTGCAAGTTGTGTTATGGTTTTTACAATGGGTTACAGTTTTGGACTAATATCTTCGCAGCATACTTCTAATATGTAGAAAGCACCAGGTTCTCATCAATGTAATTTGTTGCCTCCATCCATTGAAGTATCTTCCAATCACCTTCTTGTAACTAGGTCTCTGCTTCACCATATTCCAATACTCAGCTATATTAGGCCTGCAACTGATGTAACTCTCTTCCAAATTCAATAGCACCAATCGAGCGAGGACAGGGATGAGCATCACATCTGCCAATGTGAACTCTTCGCCCAGAAGATAAGATGTCTCCCCTAGCTTAGTTTCCACTTCATCAAGAAGCCTCACCAGGTGTTCCTCACTGCGCCTCAGCACTTCAACATTTCTCAACTTCTCTTCTGTTTCATATGCCTCTCGAAGCTTGCGATGGTATGCACTAGCCAGATCAGGAGATTCAGTCATTCGAGCAATTATTACACGCCTCAGGAATTTGGAAACAAATACGCGATACTTCACAGGAATGTGGAACAGGGTAAAATACTTCGGATCCCATGCTTGGATTTTATTCATCCATTCAATGACCTCTTGGCTGCTGAGTGCGGCATTGTCTCCACGAGAGGAGACCAAGGCAATTCTTTCTATATACCTGTGAGTAGATGCAATTATATTTGTCTGGTTAAGTTAATGCAAAAATCTTCAAAAGTAGATTAAGACAAAAGGAACTCCCAGACTAGATTAGTTGTGAGGTAAATCTGAAAGTCTCATGCTCTGATATTTTTCATGTTAGAAAGCACACACTAATCTGGCCAGAATTACCAAAACCTTCTCAGTTTATAAGTGTGTGGTCAAGGTGAATGCAACTAAAAACACTACTAAGTCCACCTAAGGGAACCAAGTTTTCATGGGACAGTGCACCCTGAAATGTGTAACATTACAGAATGCTTCAGGGAAATAGAAGACATACTTGATAATCTCAACGGTGTCAAAGATTATATGCGCACCATTCTGAAAGACAGGAAGGTTAGCACTTGGATTCAACCGGAAGAAAAAAGAGTCCATGTTCTTGCCTGTGATAGGATTGACACGATGAGATGTGTAATCAACTCCCTTTTCTTCCAAAGCAAGCCTCACCTTCTGGCTATCCAAAGAGTACGGATGATGATATAGCTGCATTATGTGTCATCAACCTGTAATAGGAGGTTGTTGATGTTCAAGTATAATCTGGAAACTTATAAGCCAATTGTCGAGTCTAAGCACACAGAATTCACGTCAAGCTATGACAGTGCCTGGTGGATAAACATAGATTACTCGATTAACCATCCAATAACCTATAGAATGCCAAAAAGATAAACACTATTTCAACCATCCTATTTCATCATCTGGGATGTAATATGATTCAATGCAAAGAAATTCATAATGAAGCCTAAAAACTTCAATTCAATCATGCATGTGATGAAAATATGGGCATGGATATAAATCAATGCTTGAAACACATATTTCATTCGAAAAAGAAAGAAACACATCTCGTTAACAAAATCTAAAATTATTACATGCATGCAAGCAGCTGATCTTTCATTTTTTACTTTTCCTTTTTCTGGTTGGTTGGATGTGGCGAATGATGGCATGAACAGTACATATTCAGACTTATCTGTTGGAAGGTAATGATGCAAGTTTCTTGAGATAACAAACATCACAAAATTTCACATAACCAACTATTAGCTTGATGATTAAACTACAAATATTTCTAAATCTTTAGTCATTCTGATACATGAACCAGAAAAAACTGTGTGTTTCAATATAAATTGTGACATAATCTTGTCCTCACGCCCTTTTTACTCTATACCCTACATCTTCATCCATTCAACCATTAAACAGTATGATGAGGAAGGTTTTCGTCTCTCAAAAACGTCTGGCCAAAGCAAGAACTCAGTAAAGGACTTAGTACGTGACATATTATTGAGGCAAAGGAACTAAACTACACAAGCATCAATTCTTTGGCTCTCTGTCTTTTCAGTCTAACCAAACAAAAGGATGTATGACATATACTGAGAATCAGTATACAGAGATGTAATTATGACAAGTGCAACCGAGCAACATGATGGATAATCCTTAGCAAGATCAAACATTAGTTTAGGTTCGCAAAATCAAGAACTCTGCCCATTGAGTCCTACAGAAAAATTCACTTTATGCTTTTGAACAGAACAACAAAGATTGAGACTATTGCCAGAACCAACACCCTTGAAGAGCAAATTCAAGACTTAACTACAAAATAGAAAAAACATGTATCTGAAACATGATAACTACATAGGAAAACATTTCAGATTAGTAGTGTTGTCTGTTCATTTTTGGCTCTTATTTCACATCTTCTTCACGTAGGTCCCACGCTGCCAAGTTTCTAAACTACTGCAAGCCACAGTATTACACTGTAAGAAACTTTACTGCTGCAATTCTCAAATCTCTAAGTGCCAATCCAAACCCATGAAGGCAATCTAAGAAATTATAACCTACAAATAAAACTAAAGTCTGGCTTCAAACAAAAAGCATAATATGACTAAAGAAAAAAGTCCAAAAACTGACTACACAAAATTCCATAAACTCAATTTTGTTGCTCAAACCATAGAAAACCATAGTAGCATATACACAACAAGAACACAATCAAGATCAATACTTTTGACAATTAGACTATACGCCATGATTCAACTGAGGAAAGTGATAAAAGTTAAACAGAAGAAAAAGAAACAAATAACTCACAATTAAATTATAAAACATGTCCCAAAAAATCGAAATTCTGAAAAAAAAAAGGAAAGCAAAATTCATGAGCATGGATTACACTTACCAAAAAGGTATTCTTGAATAAGCCCAGTTGAAATTCTTGAAAAAACTTGCAAAAATTCAAAGGGAATTCGAAGCTATGGGCTAGCAAGTGAACCAAGAAAAGTTCGAAAAAGGGGACTATTTTAAGTGGATGGTGATGATGAAGCACAAAGGGGTTTTGCTATGTCAGAGGAAGAATTTGACAGCTTCACAAAAAGACTAGTGGAAAGTGACCGGTTTTGAGGATGCCTTGATTCTGCAGAAAAGTTCGGACTTTATAGAAACTGCCTCTTTCTACTCCTCTCGTCAGTCGTCAATAATGTAGTCAACCAAGTTATCAGAATATCAAAAAAAAAAAAAAAATTCCAGGTTAATTATAAAAGGCCAAAAAATTATTGCTTTGTCATTTTCGCCCCTCATCATTTAATTGGATCAAACCATGGCATTGACATTTCAAATTGTCTCAATGAAGTATACTCCCCCGGTAAAATGCACCCAAAAATTTTTATTTCATTACATCTCGTGAAAATTTTACAACTACAGATTTCAATATAATAATTGATTTTCTGCTAAATCGCGTCTGTTTATTTCATTTTTTTCTTATGTATGACAATACATATTTTTATTCAAATCACTGATTCAATTACAAAGGAAATCTTATCATTCCATACGATGGAATCCAATTTATTTAATGTTGCGTGATTAGTTTATCAAATTAAAAAATTTTGAAATCTTTAAAAGGAAGATTGATTCAATTGAACACAAAAAGTGAAAGCTGTGATTCTTGATGGGATATTTTGTAATTAACTGAACTCTTTTTTGGAAGAGAAAATGGGAAAATGAATGAAAAAGAAAAAAAAAGTATTTTTTTAATATATATATATATATGTATAAATGAAAAGTACTTGGTCAAGGATTTGGGGCAGGGACGGTCTTCAGGTGGACCGTTCCCGAGCAGTACACGGTCAAGATTTGGTAAAAAAAAATTGTACGGTTCAGATCTTATCTTGTATCTCATTTTTAATAACATGTATGGAACCCACAAAATTTTGTTCTAAAATTACACGTTATTGAAAGTAAGTTACACCATGTATAAACTGAGTTACGCCGTATGCAAAATGCATGTAACCTACCTGCAACCGTTCCTGCCCCGGTCCCTCGGTAAACTATCTGAAGTCCCGCTCTGGTGCTGTCCAATATCTAGTGGACACGTACTGACAAGTTAAAAATCGAAGGGTCGGCGTTGTGGGTTTTGGTTGTTTAACATTTTATTAGTGCTTGGGATGGCTGGGGAGCCAACCCATAGATTCTACGTCCTTGTACAGGGCTGACCGGCCAAGCTTGTATTTTATGTTATTTGGGAAGATTTATTTGCTTGCATCCAATTAAATAATCGTCAACTAGTTTCTTTCAACATATTCTTTTGTTTTTCTTGTGAGGAGAGACATCATTTTTTTTTAATGCATATTTTGCTTTCACCATGTGTGAGTCAGAGAGTTTGTTCTGCTCTTTTCTTGCTTGATTTCCATTTTTCTCAAAAGGACATGGTACATGAAGGAATACCTAAGCAAGAATGGTGCTGTATGAACAAAGTGCTAGCATATTTGTTTGTACAGCTGATTATTTTTTCAAATATATTTGCTTACATCATCATTACAATTTCCAATACACCTTTTTATCTTCCCAATTATTTTTTTATCTCACATACATCACATCACAAAAAGTGCTACAGTAAAAAATATCGCAAATAACTTACAATCCAAACAAACCTGAACGCATGAACTATGATCTAAAGGTTGTATCCAAGATATACCCTGAAAGATGTTACCATAGGATCTAAATTTGAAGTAATTTATAGTTTACACACCGATAAATGTGATTTCTTACCGTTAGAAAAAGGGTTTCTTTGTATTCAATTTAACTTTATATATTCGTTGGGCTCTTTGAAGTTGAAATATGTTAGCACCCAAAAAAAATAGAAGTTGAAATATTTGACTTCATATATGGTATACACATCGGTAAATGTGATTTCTTGCCGTCAGAAAAAGAGTTTCTTTCTTTGTATTAAATTTTAATTCGTATGTTTGTTGGACTCTTTGAAGTAGAAATATATTGAGAGAAATATATTCTGAAAATATATAGCAATAATAATTTGTTTGGTGTTTCAAATTGTATTTTTTTGTGGGAATCTAAGATAAGGTTGTGGCAAAGTCCATCTTGGCTAGTAGAATTGAATTGTATCTATGAACCTCCTACGAAGAATTAGTTAGCTTTGTCAAAATTCAATGAAAGAAACTTCCACGTCCAAATAAATCCAATGTAGGACTGAATTTTGATATAAACCATAGAAAATCAAATTATATCCATATTCATGACTTTTTCATAGGACTTAGGTGTGAATAGGATTTGATTTGAAAAATTAAACTCGAATCCTGCCAACTACATTGGGTTTATGTTGGATTTCGATAAGATTAGACCCATTGATATCCCCATTTTTATCTCGTACAAGTACAACGTTGCCGACCACACCGTTCTGGAAAATGGTAATTACATATTATCCTGAGAGGGCCCGTCATAAATTCTGACCGACCAAATTGTTGGCATATTTGGACTGCCGACATTAGTCGTCGAATGCACGTGCACAAGGCAGAGGGCCCGGTTTTCACTTCCCATTATTCAAAATTTTTGTGGGATTCTCACTCAATTGAAAAAATTACAAGAAATTACTTTTTTTTTTATTTTGAAACATACTAGAAATTACTACGGCAGATATCCTTTTTGTCTTAGATTTACTCGCTTGCTAGCAGTATTACCTAATATGTACTAAAATGATTTTACTCAAACTCTGACGTTACTTTAACAGGGTTCGAATTCTGAATCTGACAGTTGAAAGTGAGAAGGATACGAGAAGAAGGGATTAAAAAAAAAATTACCTTCCTTGTATCTTTTTGTGCTAGTGCTATTAACTCAGTTGTATGAGTAAATCCCCAAATAGTTAAGTGTTCATTATGCTATTTATTTTGGATAAATGCCCATCACTATTATAGTTAAGTGTTCGTTATGTCTTTTGTCTTTTTTTTGGGCTGTTTTCCTTTTTCTCCTTTCTTGTTAGTGTAATCTATAATTTTCAACTTTTATTGTTCAACTCTTATAAGAAACCCAGTGGTTCACCAAGACTTTTGTGAGTGACTAAAATTCATGCTGATTGTAAATTTCCTCTTTCTTAAAAGATAGAGTGTAAAACAATTTCTGTTGGATATTGTTATCGATGATCCTACATTGGAAAGTTTGTGGAAGATGGAAAAAGTTATACACCAATTTAAATAATTTTGGATGGAGGAAAATTCAAATTTTTGATACATTTGCCCTATTATGACGTGAGCATGTGGGCACTTTGGCTTTCTAAAAAATTAATTTTGTATTTATTATTATTTTTTAACTTCAACTGACAGTTATTGTTAGTTGAATATTAAAGGCTGTTTGGTTTAATTAGTGTCTCCTAACAAAAAAGATATGTGTTCATTAAAGGCGTCTATTCGTTTAAAGTCGTATTTATTTTAAAAGGATACTTTTAAATGGCATACTATTTTACAAGGGATGTCTAAACATTTATTAATTAGAGTGGTCAAACACCGATTAACACACTTCTAATTTTCATTCTTCGTCTTTTCAGATGAAAACAAAAATTCTCTAAATTGTTCTAGGAAGAGTTTCTTTTCTTTGCTACGGGAACACTTTAGTTTGACTTTCTAATTCTTAGAGTGAATTGTCATAATAGAGGCAAATTTCCTTGAGGCGCGTCAAAGTCATAACCTATATATATATATATATATATATATATATATATATATATATATATATATATATATATATATATATATATATATATATATATATATATAATGTAACCTATATATATGGAAATCCCAATTCATTGGGCCTTTCGATACAATCAAATAGAAAGGTCCAAGGGCGCCATATTCTAGAAGCCCAAACTATGTAATTGAATAAATCCTCCTCTATTTGTTGTGGGTCAAGGGCTCCTTCCTCCTTCAAACTCCGAATCATATTTTTCATAGAAAAATCTCTTATCAAGAATATGACAAGATTTGCTCTGCATCATATCTAAGGGATTCCTCGGTTCGGGCCGAAGAAGCGATGTCACTCGATCATTATCAAACTGATTGCAATTTTTTTCTGTCCGTGAAGATTCCACCAGAGCGCCTTCTACTTCTAATAGGTCATGAACTAGATTCAAATCGTTCTCAACGAGTTCCTAAAAATATAGTTTTCTAACAATTTCCAATCACAGAGCTTGCAAGTCGAATCATCCATATTACACATAAAAAAAAAAGAAACACCAAACAATTGAGATTTTTCTCTTTAATTAAGATCTCGATTCCACTTACAAATGTGTACCAAGTTTGATTCATTTAATTCTATAAGCCACGTTGACCAACCTTCTTGTTTGCAGTTTTACTCCTTCAATTGTTTTGCAATAATATAACGGAAGCAACATCTTGATTCATGTGGTCAAGTATACTAGAATTTTACTACAGCCAAGTGGGATGTATCACCATTGACCATGCATCTGTGGAGACATGAACCAAAAAATTGTAGGTTACGAATACTACAACTCATCGGTCTGGGAAAATCCCTAAACAGAGTGTAATTTTATGTGTGGAGACATGCATAATGTATTAAGGTACAGTGATTCATTCAAATAAAAGATACATAGGAACATCAATTTTATCTTTATTTATATTGTTTTCTTAGATCTATTATATCTATTGATTTCATATCTATACGTATCAGTGTCATATTTGTTTGATGCTTTTTCTGCAATTAGTGCATATTTATTTGAATGATACAATTTTTTCTATATAAAAAAAAAGGATGGTAAGAAGACTACCAACATTTTTACTATTATAGTAGGTGGTTTCCAGTTTTCCCCACCACATGTAAAACTTTAGACTGGACTCTAGAGGTCCCCGAACCAAACAGAGAAACAATAGATAGGCCTAGAAATCCATCAAATCATCACCCATGCTTAGTGCCTAGTAGTATATATTTTTTGAACAGACAGATAAACCATCCAAATTAATAACTATTGCCATTCATATTTTTAGCACTATTACCTCTGTGGGTCGAAGTAATTCCATCAATTTTTTTGGCGCCGGGCACAGGTGCAGTGGGATTAGTCGGCCATTCATATTTTTAGCACTATTACCTCTGTGGGTCGAAGTAATTCCATCAATTTTCTTGGCGCCGGGCACAGGTGCAGT